CACGAAGGGAGTTGTCCAGGGATCGAAATAAGTGGTAATCCGATGGCGCGAGATCAGGGCTATATGGTGGGTGTAACATCAATTCCCAACCAATATCCATCAATTTTTGCCGAGTGGACAAAGACGCGTGCGGCCTAGCATTGTCCTGCTGGAAAATGACACCTTTACGATCGACCAATTCTGGTCGCTTTTCCTTGACCGCTGCATTCAATTTGCCCAGTCGCTAACATTCACGGATAATAAAAAATAACATAATAATAATAATAATAATAATTTTATAATATAATATTCACGGATATCATAAAAATGGGAGTGAAAGACATCTGTAACTGAAATCGGCAATTACTTAGTTGCCAACCCAATATTTCCACAAACGAGTACAATGACTAAGTGGCAACGACAATAAATTGGCCTCTCTCGACAGTTTGTTAAAGAGGTTTCTTCGGCATTTATAGCCTCTTCTTTCCTTCGGCGATTCGCCTGCTGAACCTAGAACCTTACACGTGCTCCGCAGCTAGTAGAAGATCAACGAATTCCGAGACAAAGTAACAAAGTTTCGAAAAAAGCCGATAATCCTGGTGGTGCGATGGAGCCGGTATCGTTTCGTTTCGAAAGTCCTCGGAAGTTAAGGGAATTCTCGAAGGATCGATTTCGAGCCGTTATCAAACGTCATGCACCGTTTGAATCGACTTCAAATTAAATCCTTCGAGCCCTACCGGTGGCTGACTATCGTGCGATTTGCGACCTACCCGCAAAAAGAACGATGGCCAGCCCCGGGCCTACCTAACAATTCACACACTCCGTTAAGGCAAGTTACTTATCCTGCTTAATGCTATATTTAAAAAATGGTAAAACAGTCGCACCAACATATTCACTCCACGAGACGCCTCTAACACCCCAACATAATCATTCATATCGTAGATCCTGAAATCGACTGACATATGAGCCGTTTATTTTGAAAGTGGCATAAGTCACTTTACCGTAATGAAAAGTGGTGATTTTTTAATGTTTATACGAAATTATTTATACTGAGAAAAATATCAGTATCCTGAGATAATAAATACAAGTAAATCTTCTCGAAAGTTAGTATCCATATTTTTAAACGTATTAAAACGCAAACCCTTAAATATATCGACTTAAAAACAAAGTGACTTATGCCACTTTCAAAATAAACGGCTCATATAGCGATCATCATTGCGATTTAATCGAATTCTAATTGGATATTACTTTCTCTAACGAGATTCTAATTGACTAGTAATACTAATTATTCTAGAATAAATATCATTTCGGTAGAGTTGTATTTTTCAAGACTCTTGCGAACTTTTATTAAACCGTTTCAATCGATAAGGATAGAAAATGAATATTCTGTGCATACATATTTCACATAGATTCACGTTGCGTGACATGAATCGTTTGGAATATGTTCGATTCGAGCTAGTTTCGATTTCAAAGAACCGACGCAAAATCCACTGCCTCACACACACACACACACGAGTGGAAATTACGTCGTGCACGATACGCTAGCTATTGTTAGTCGTTATTATTATTAAATACCGTTCCATGTGTCGTTGCTCGCACCCTCCCGAGTAACGCTTAGACACTCGGAAGGATTCGAGCAACGAACATGAAACCTCGGATCTTTGGAAATCGTAACTAAAAAGAGTCATTAGTTCCTCGAGCTAAGTTTCTTCAAATCCATTATTAAAATATGTTCAAATATGCTTAATAGTTTCACAATAATAATAATAATTTCAAGACGTGTTCAAACATGTTTAATAATAATTTCAAAACAAAAAAAGAAACTCCGTTTTGAGTTTCGAAATTTTGAAGGACGAAACGTCCTTCTGCGCGTGATCTCTAATGCAATTAAACGGAAGAAAGTTATTTAATATATTGGTACAGTAAATACATAAATATAATTTTTGGAACATTCGTGTTATGATAATCGCGTGTTGTGAAAGATTAATGTGTTTCGGCAGCTTCGAAATAAAATTATTAAAACCCGAAACGATCGCAGAAAATCGCGACGTGCAGAAAAACCCTGCCTAACTAAGAAGGCAGATTACCACTCAAAGGATTGCCGGGCAATCCCTTGATCACTGTTACTCGTCAAAATGTTCTACACTTTCTACGTAATAAAAATTTTGAATGTTCATTCACTATTTGATGGGAGGAGGGAGCTGCGTTAGAGTTCTGGAACAGAAAGAAAAGCACAGCGATATTAACACTAAACCTACCGCGGTCAAAGTGACCGCTTTCTTATTTTGCAATTCTGCAAAGTTCCGAGACTCTTTCGTGGACGCTTGAAACGTTATAAACGCTTGAATAAGTTATACATATTATTGGAGCAAGTTTTATAATAAAAACTTCACAAATTCTAAATAAATTCGGTCTTCTCTCTTTTGTGAAGCAGTACATGCCAGTTAGTATTACTGCTTGGTAGGTTTAGTGTTAAAATACGTCCAACATTATTTATGAAATTATTCATTTCTACAAATTATTCCATGTAATTTGCATATTGTCCGACATGATTTTTGATTTCTCACAGCTACTATGAAATTCTTGTAAAGCTTCACTGCTCGAACAAGAATCCGAAAACCGAATTGCTCCATCAGCCTCAGTTTTCGAAAAAACGAGCATTTATAAATATCCAGAATTTTCGGCAATAATGCATAAAAAGTAAAATCGTTAGAAAATTCTAATCGGTCTTAAAAGATAGAGGAGAGTTTTCCAAATATAGTGGCATACAATTTATTAATTGTTTTTAGTTTTCATAACTATATATTAACACTATGCCGTCCGCAGATTTTAGATATGATTCTTTTGTTTGACGCCGGCATAATAGCTTGGAAATTTTAGATTTTAAAAAGAATTTCGAAGATGGCGGTAATATGAATTCCTAAAATTAAGATATGTCACCCAAGAATTTTCGTACTTAATTCTTAGCTAAATAAGCACAATGCTATAGTTAGTTTGCTGTCTTTTAACACCCAAGAAATATAATTCAAATGTTATTTCAGTTTTTTAAAATGGTACCAAAGTGGTACCACCGGCATACAACAGATAGTTTTTGCATGGCACCAGCGTGGTGCCACCGGACGGCATAGTGTTAATATGAAAGTTTAAAAAAGTGCCGATGTGCGTAGTTACTCCGCAATATTTTTGTATTTTTACGTAAAGTTCTTTGTCCAACGCGAAAACTCTACCCAGAATCGGTTCTGTAGACCTTTTCTGAAGAAGAAACGGCCCGACAGAAGTGTCGGAACGATTTACATTTCGAGCAGGCCGAGAAAATATTCGTCGACAATTTAATTAGTAAATCGAAGCATTATTTAAATAGCGAAGGTCAATCGGCAATGTTTACAGCCGTTGAAAACAAAAGATTCGAGATTTATGTTTTTCTTAAGTCCGCTGGATTCATTTTTTAAAATAAAGATGAGGAAGAATGCATAAATAAACTCTCCCAAGGAGAAGAAGGTATGCTAAAAAACAGAAATGATTTCTACATTCCCTTAAATTGATCAGGGACATATTCTTTATTTAACATTAAAATCAAGGTCCGAGAAACTTGTTGACAAAGAACGAATCGAAAAACATTATAAGTCTTTGGATGCTATTCCTGAAGTATCAATAATTCGTAGTGTGAAGATTATCTTGACATGGTTTTTGATTTTGATAATGAAAACATCAAGGATATTAATCCTACTACTTTGAAAGATACAAAAGGAACTACTGATTATGAAGACGGTAGAATTTACATAGCAGCTAAAATAGAGGAAAATAAACTATTAGGTACTTTAGCTCGTGAGTCAACGTATCACGCAATATATACTCTATATAAAAATGATTGTAATCCATTTGAGAATTTAGAAAATGCTAAAAGAAAAACAATATTTTGCGAAAATAACAGCGAAGATTAAACAATATACAAAAAATACAATTAAGATGATAAACAGTATTACCGAAGATAAAATCCGCTTCTGACTCTAGCAAGAGCATTTACATATCCAGAAGATGAGCATCAATCTGAACTAATTGTAAGGATTCCACATATCCTTGTACAATATCATGACGAAGGAAGAAGATGGCTTAATCAAAATGAAATATTCAAGTTGCTTTTTGATTAATATGCCGATCGAGAAAAATGAGAAGTAATACAATCGGTGCAATGAATTCATTGAAAACGGCTTCTTAATTAAGCCAAGAAATGATATTCGAGTTCTTAACGAAAATTTTGGAGGAATAAACGAAATAAACAATGCAATAATACGTAGGATAAATTTTGAAAATCCTGTTGATATTGATAATTTTCTAACGTCAAGCAAATAAGTGGTTCTTCTAAAAACAGAGAATACAGACAAACCTGTTTTTGTGCGCTCTTTTTTTAATGCGATTTTTTATGCTATTTTTTATGCGGTATATAACGTATATCGAAATTCTGTTCGCCATATGTAAGTTCGCCGCGAGGTTAGGTCAATCTCAACGGTGTTGACATCACTTTTTTTCTATCGGTGTGTATGTACATATTGTATCAGCCATTTCATACCTATTGCAGCTGTCAATTTCAATACATATTGCACCATCTAATAACATTAGTTAATTACCGATCATCGAAGTGCGTGCATACATATCTTTTGACCATTAAGATAAGATTAATATCATAATGAGATTAAAGGTAAATTAATAATTTTTTTTTATTTATAGATGTAATTTTTTATGATTTTTATTTTATTTTTAGGCATAAGTACTCCCTTAAAATGAATAATCGTAACCAAAAGAAAGTGAGAAGAAAGACAATTGCATTAGAAACTAAAATTGCAATATTAAGTAGATTAGCAGATGGTGAAGGATCCACGGCTCTTGGTAAGGAATTTAAATTAGGCGAATCCACTATCAGAGCTATACAAAAACGTGCAAGTAAAATAAATGAATCTAATAATTGTGCAACAAACGAAAGTGGTAAAAGAACATCATATTCAAGAAATATTTTAATAGAGAAAACGGAAAAGGCCCTCATATTTTGGATTAAAGACTCAACTCGAAAACGAATCCCCATTGATGGAGATTTAATGAAAGAGAAAGCTAAACAATATTTCAATCAGCTGAAAGATTTAGAACCATCTAGTTCCTCATTACATTTTAAAAACCTGAAATTTTCAGCCAGCAATGGCTGGTTATCTGGATTTTTACGACGACATGCACTTCACAATGAGAAGATACAAGGTGAGGCCACGTCCACCGATGAAACAGCTACTAAGAATTATTGTAAAGAACTAGCAAAAATTATTGATGATGATGGATATTGCCCAAATCAAGTATTTAATGCAGATGAGACTGGGTTATTTTGGAAAAAGATGCCCAGTCAAACGTTCATCGCTAAGTCTGAGAAAACTGCAAGTGATTTTAAGGTTGCAAAGGATCGAATTACATTCCTTCTTTGTAGTAATGCTTCTAGTGCAAGAATGTTAAAACCACTTATTGTAAATAAAGCTTTGTACCCACATATGCTAAAAGACATAAATTTAGTTGAATGTAATGAAGCTGTAAATGATAATGACATTATCAACAACATAATAGATCATGAAGACGAACAAGAAGAACCAGATTCTATGACAGTGGATAAAATATATGCAGGGATTCAGCTTTGCAGCAAATTGGAAAACCATTTTCTTAAAATAGATAACAATTCCGAAAGAAGTTTGAAATTCCAAAAAGAGCTTCGATCATGTATATCTGGCTATTGCGACGTTTACAAGCAGCTGATCAAACCACTGTCATCACAAAAACTTATCACCGATTACATGGTAACAAAAAATTAACTCTAATATCTTCACGTAATGAAAGCGATTATGAACCAGTTCATCACAAAAATATGCGTGTTTTGGACTTCAACAAATAGTATTGAATTATGTACATTTTGAAAATTTCTCTTTGTTTAAAATGAGAAATTAAAATTCTTTAAAATGTTTCCATGTATAATTTAAGTATTTATTCTAATTGGAAAACACTTTCTCGCTATTTTGTAAAGCTTTGACATATTTTCTAAGTGAGACTTTTTTTTTGTAGTCCCTCTGCACCACAAAAGAAATTTTATTTAATATGTTGTGAAGAATTATATATATATTTTTTTTTTTATATATATATTTTTTATATATACATTTTTTTGTGCAGTTTTTTTCTGTGGTCCTTATCTACCGCACAAAAACAGATTTGACTGTACATTGTTAAGCATTTTAAGTATTTATGAAAGCTTGATAAGATCTTTTTATAAAATAACAAACTACTTTATTTAGCAGTAGGTAAAGTGCTATGCATAAGGTGCTATAGCTACAATGCAAACAGAGAAAGATTGCCAGATGTTTTAAAAAATATTTATACATTTTTAGAACAAACATAGGACAAAAAAATCATATTTCTAATATTAGGAAGTAAAACGGATAGATTTAATGAAATCAAAGGAGTATTTCAAAGCAAATGCTATGAAGAAGTAGCAGACTACAAGTTCACATTGAATGATCTAACTGAAGAATCATAGAGCAGAAGCTTTTGGAACAAGAAGTGATACTGCAAGAAAGAAAGATTAGTTTGAACAAATTAATAAATAAGTCGGATAAAGATGTGAAACAAAGATAGATCTCACAAATCTAATAGCAGTATTGAATCACAATATTATCAGAGCTATTAACAATAGAATACAGGTAGCTGACGATCAATTAAAAAAAGGAGATTTTAAGCAAATATGTCAAAACAATTGGGGAAAAAAATGTATTGGATTAATCTAAGACATGAAGGCAGTGTGACTAAATTCATGCTAGAACAAATTTATAATCCTGATTTTTACTTAAAAGATAACAGATGTAATAATGAAGTAGTTATTGAGAAGAATGTAAAAGAACGGTTATTGAGTTCTACACTTTCAGAAATATTTATTATCGGTGGCAACAACAAAGGGGAGGTCACAAAGTGACTTCAACTTCGTGAGATTATAGAACATATAAAATTTGAAAGAAATTAGAATAGTCGTAGGCTTAAGTTACTAAATTCTCAAGATAATATGCTAGCTACTTTTCAAGAACTAATTACACAAAATCACAATCAAACGTTTCATTTGCTTAAATTTGAACAAGATCAGCTTGTTTGGAGTAAAACTCGTGGTTCATTAATGAATTTGAGCATAGGAATTCTAAACATTTAATAGGAGAGGATGCTTTAATTACTCAAATTAAAAATGATAAAGTGGTAATTATTGCTGGTGACCCAGGAATGGGCAAAACTACTACTTTGATTAAGTTATATGAGTTACAATATGCATTACAGTCTGGTGCAAAAGAGTCGATAATTAAGTCGCATCGGTTAATTCCAGTCAATCTAAAAGATCACTTAGATGCAATAAGAGACATTGATTTTAATATACCAACAGAAATAGTAAAAGTATAATGATTTTTTATCACAAGTTGATAAAAGTATAAGTGATAATTTTTCCAGAAGATTGTTAAGTATGGCGCTAGTAAAGCAGGATTTTGGGAAGCCTTCATTAATATCACTTGATGAATTTGATGAAGTTTTAGATAAATTGGATAGAGATAAAGTTATCTCATTACTGGAACATTTAAAAGATGAAACTGAAGATACATTTTAGATTACTACTCGTCTCCATTATCAGAAGATTTTAGAGATTACGGTATCAGTATTTGCTATAAAGCTGGATTCAACTCGTGATGAAACAAGCTACACGAAAAAATACTTAAAGAATCATCTAAGTATCATTTAAGACACGAAGAGTTTCAAAATATCTTTGGCAATAGTGATGAAATAATAGAAAATACAAGGATGCAAGGATACACGGAGGCACTCTTAAGTAAAATGCACGAAATATTTAAAGACGACATATCTGAGCTCATTGGAACACTATTACAGCTCTATTTAATGTTAGAAGGTTCTACAAGATATTTTAAAGAGTGAACAAGAGACATTAATGGTCAAGGACCAGACTTTCGTTACCTGGGCGATGATATATGGCAAGCACATGGAAAGTTTGTTCACAAAATGTATAGTGTCCATTTTAATCAAGCAAAAGTTAAAGAACAAATAAGACAGAAGCAAGATAAAGTAATATTTGATGATTATCATAAATCTCTAACTAAATCTTTTATGCTTAAATTAGCACCCAAACGATCTCTCTTTAGAAAAATTTAGAGATATAATGTTATCAGCTGGGATTATTAGATATGATGGTAGCAATATTCAGTTAATACATTCAACATTTAGAGACTACTTTGCTGCTAAAGTATTCCTAAATTGGATAATAAAATGGAAAGAAGGCTGTATTAACTAACAATATCAAAAAAGCAAGAATATTTATTAAAGGAGATTTTAGTAAAGTCAGATTATTAAGTTATAAGCATATTTTTAAATAGTAAATTCCTAAAAGTGAAAATGGCAAATATACATCCGCAAGTGTTATGTTATGATATAGAAGTTTTATTTGTAGCAGCTAAGGAATGCAATATCGCCCGTTTTGTGTTAAATAATTCAGATAATTCAAATGACATTGTTGATGCTAAAGACACGTTTTGCGAGACAATTTCGCACGCGGCTGCTAACACTGGTAACTTGGACATGGTTAAATTTCAAATAAATGAAAAAAGCAGATTTTAATGTTAAAGACAATTTTGGCAGCACAGTTTTACACCGGATTGCTACGCGTGGTAACCTGGAGATGGTTACATTTCTGATAAATGGAAAAAATGCCAATGTTAATGTTGAAGACTTGACTGGCGAGACAATTTTGTACGCGGCTAGTTAATTCTGAAAACTTGTACGTGGATAAATTTCTGACATATAGAGAAACTGTCGCCCTACGTAAAAGGATTAGGATCATTTGTTATATATATATATATAGTTCAGCAAGTATTTGTGAGCTGAGTGATAATATTAGTTCTATTTTATCCTCTTGTTAGGAGGGAACCATATGGTATTGTGTGAGAAGGAAAAAGAATCGGTAAATAACAAAATATTGTAAAGACGGGAAAGTGGCATGAAATAAGAAAATGTGAATCTTTTTAATAAGACTGTAATTATAATAAATCAGTAATTAAATATGTTGTCTTAAGCCATATATGATATATAGAGTGTATCCTTTCAGAATAACTATCATTTCTAAGATATTTTCAAAAATCTGCCAAGGAAGTGTTTTGTATAGAAATTAAGTATTCTTCAGTAATCTTAACTTTTTAAAATTGACTTCGCAATATTATTGTTTTTGTTAATCAAACCCCGATATGTTAACTCAAGGTGATACGAAGTTCAAAATGATGGTGTCATTTAATTAAAGTCAGACTTGCCTGAATTTTTTTTTTAGGGAAACATAATTTAATTTGTATCCACAAAAGATTTCTTTCACAGATTATTGGAAATGCCTAAAAAATGGTGGTTTATCCTAATAAATAAATCCTGCATTTGGCATCGCACATTTTAATTTGAAAATAAATCTGAAAATGCATGCTATTTCATGAGTTTTAATTTTTGTTTTATATATATACTTTGGTATACAAAATGACTTTCTAAAATATTCATTACTTATAGTTCAACAATCTGCAGTGTGTCCGGTAACCCTGATGTTGGCAACCGCGTACTCGGGTACTCGATTACTACAATTCATTCACAACCATTTTTTATATTCTCCTGAAAACATCAGGAGAATATAAAAAATATTTTTGAATATCCATTGTTTGAATGTAATAACATTGTATGTGATGCATTGTATGTATGCATTGTAACAATGCATAACGTTGTAATTTCGATGTAAAGATTTATGGAAAAAAGTTAAATATCAAGACTTTAAAATTACATTTGTTTGTTCGTTAACATAACAACGAAATTAGCTCGCTCAAATACTTCGAAGAATGAACATTGCAAGAGAAAATGTTCAGATGTGAAGGTCGTATTAACATTTTTAAATAGAAGCTTGCATTTTTGTCATACAGGGACAGTCACGAAAAACGGAACACTTGAATTTTCCTGTTTATATGAAGCATAAAAGAAAAAGTTTTGAAAATGGTCTTGGTTTTGATACATGTTATCAAGGACACTCTCCAAAATTGGCCTCAATCAAATTGGCCTCTGATAGCGCCAGAGTTTGAAAGTCCCATATTTTCTCTTGTTATCCTCATGCCATCTGGGATTTTCCGGTCTTACTTTATTTCTTCACAGTCGCGCCATAAGTAATGGGCACGCAATTTATTATTTTGACCTTCGAGTGGGATTGATTTCTTTCGAAGAGGCTCTTCATACGACCATGATAGAACCTCACTTGCAGGTAAGTTCGTTTAATCATTCAATTGTGTTCCTTGCGTTTCCCCGAGATCATTAGTAGATGTTAAAAACTTTATGGCACGCCTGATTTATTTTATAACTTTACTTCTTAGAGCAGAATACGTAAACGACTTATTGACCTCCCATAATTTTAGATCATGAAAGTTTGCGTATGTCTTTGAACTTTTAGCAGTCGGTCCTAGAATCGAAGTCGTCGTTCTTCGAGCCTCGTAGCTCGCACTTATAGTTGTCGACATCTCGTGAGAAAGAGAGATTCGGAGAAACTAGGGTCGTACGAAACTATGTATGTACCTGTGGAAATGGCGGCTAACATGCCGGTGTACATTACTATAAATACATTGTAATGCAAGAATGAAAACTCAATTGATGATGACTTAATTTTTTTATTTCTAATTTTGTATACATACAAATTTTGTTAATATATTGGTCAGATTTTTCCAATTAAAATGATACGAAACACGACATGCTTTAGACCGTACTTATTCATTATATGTACGTACATATGTAAAGCGTTAGAAAAACCGATCCTTAAAATATGAAATATTAAAGGCAAGGTCAAAGAAGGTACATATGAGCCGTTTATTTTGAAAGTGGCATAAGTCACTTTTTCAAAAAAATCGAGTTAATGGTAACACTAATTACAATTGAACGGTGTCTTTTCATTTTAATTGAGATCTATTCGAGAGAAATTTTGCTAATTAACGGTATAACAAACATGTTTATTTTGAAAGTGGCATAAGTCACTTTTTCAAAAAAATCGAGTTAATGGTAACACTAATTACAATTGAACGGTGTCTTTTCATTTTAATTGAGATCTATTCGAGAGAAATTTTGCTAATTAACGGTATAACAAACATGTTTATTTTGAAAGTGGCATAAGTCACTTTTTCAAAAAAATCGAGTTAATGGTAACACTAATTACAATTGAACGGTGTCTTTTCATTTTAATTGAGATCTATTCGAGAGAAATTTTGCTAATTAACGGTATAACAAACATGTTTATTTTGAAAGTGGCGTAAGTTGCTGTACTCAGGAAATTAATTGCAGGGCTTAGTGTAAAAGAAATAGAAACGTGTGATAAGTGTGTGTGAAGTATTGTTTTGAATTATTTTCAGTATTTTTAAAAAAGTTGTGATCAC